CCAGCGCTGGCCCCAGTAAACATCCAGTGCTGGTCCCAGTAAACATCCAGTGCTGGTCCCACTATGCACCCAGCGCTGGCCCCAGTAAGCACCAGTGCTGGTCCCAGTAAATATCCAGCGCTGGCCCCAGTAAACATCCAGTGCTGGTCCCAGTAAACATCCAGTGCTGGTCCCACTATGCACCCAGCGCTGGTCCCAGTAAGCACCAGTGCTGGTGCCAGTAAGCACCTAGCGCTGGTCCCAGTAAATATCCAGCGCTGGCCCCAGTAAACATCCAGTGCTGGTCCCAGTAAACACCAGTGCTGGTGCCAGTAAATATCCAGTACTGGTCCCAGTAAACATCCAGTGCTGGTCCCACTATGCACCCAGCGCTGGCCCCAGTAAACACCAGTGCTGGTCCCAGTAAACATCCAGTGCTGGTCCCACTATGCACCCAGCGCTGGCCCCAGTAAACACTAGTGCTGGTGCCACTATGCACCCAGCGCTGGTCCCAGTAAGCACCAGTGCTGGTCCCACTATGCACCCAGCGCTGGTCCCAGTAAGCACCAGTGCTGGTCCCACTATGCACCCAGCGCTGGTCCCAGTAAGCACCAGTGCTGGTGCCAGTAAGCACCTAGCGCTGGTCCCAGTAAATATCCAGCGCTGGCCCCAGTAAACATCCAGTGCTGGTCCCAGTAAACACCAGTGCTGGTGCCAGTAAATATCCAGTAGTGGTCCCAGTAAACATCCAGTGCTGGTCCCACTATGCACCCAGCGCTGGCCCCAGTAAGCACCAGTGCTGGTCCCAGTAAATATCCAGCGCTGGCCCCAGTAAACATCCAGTACTGGCCCCAGTAAGCACCAGTGCTGGTCCCAGTAAATATCCAGCGCTGGCCCCAGTAAACATCCAGTACTGGCCCCAGTAAGCACCAGTGCTGGTCCCAGTAAATATCCAGCGCTGGCCCCAGTAAACATCCAGTACTGGCCCCAGTAAGCACCAGTGCTGGTCCCAGTAAATATCCAGCGCTGGCCCCAGTAAACATCCAGTACTGGCCCCAGTAAGCACCAGTGCTGGTCCCAGTAAATATCCAGCGCTGGCCCCAGTAAACATCCAGTACTGGCCCCAGTAAGCACCAGTGCTGGTCCCAGTAAATATCCAGCGCTGGCCCCAGTAAACATCCAGTACTGGCCCCAGTAAGCACCAGTGCTGGTCCCAGTAAATATCCAGCGCTGGCCCCAGTAAACATCCAGTACTGGCCCCAGTAAGCACCAGTGCTGGTCCCAGTAAATATCCAGCGCTGGCCCCAGTAAACATCCAGTACTGGCCCCAGTAAGCACCAGTGCTGGTCCCAGTAAATATCCAGCGCTGGCCCCAGTAAACATCCAGTACTGGCCCCAGTAAGCACCAGCGCTGGCCCCAGTAAATACCCAACGCTGGCCCCATTAAGCACCCAGCGCTGATCCCAGTAAGCACCCAGCGCTGGTGGCAGGGCAGACCCAGTACTAGTCCCAGTAAGCACCCAGTAAATGTCCTCATACCACTTGACCCCAGTACTTGTGGAAGTACAGACTGGGCCCAGCACTGAACATAAGACTGGTCACAGTGCCTCAGACCAAACGTCCATCTCACCAGGGCCACCAATGGGGAAGGGGGGCTATGCCTGGGCCCGACAATTTAAAAGGGCCCAAGGCTTTACCCCCCAGACCCTTTAAATCACCACCAGAACCCCTGGCTGTGTGTGCCCCATGGACCAAATGGCTGGCTGTGGAAAGCTAGCTCCCTGCCCCATCCCTTCTGGGGAGGGGAGGGGGCCCAAATCGGCTCCCCTTAAGGTCTATACTGGGATAATTATTGAGGTCTTACTGGGACCGCTAATACAATCTGCACTGGGGGCTGACTGGGACCAGTCATGGGATCTATATTGGGACCAGTACTAGGATCTATACCCGCACCCTCCAGACTCTGTAGTATCTGAGCGTGGCAGGCTCTGTAGCTTAATAGAACTAAAGCTGCACCTTTGATTTACACCACAGAAATAATTCAGAGCCCTTGTGGGTCGGGATAGCAATCCCCAGCAGCTGCTGAAGAATAGAGCCGTGAATAGAGTGCCCGCTGTGGGGCCAGATACCCCCTCCACTGAAGTTGTGGGTCTCAGATGTAAGGCCAGATGTAAGTGGCTACTGCAAGCAACACCAAGCTGGGTTGCCAAGTATTTTAATAGAAGCACTAAAGTAGTCACAAGGAAACTGGAGAACGTCGGGTCGGTCTGAACAGCTGATTAA